CACGAGAGCATGCTCAATGAGCAGAAGGTCATGCTCAGTGAGCAGAAGGTCATGTTGAAAGGGCAGAAGAAGAAGATGACCGAGACTGGGAGGAAGCTCGCAGAGCAGGATAGGAAGATGGCGGAGCAGGATCGGAAGATGGCGGAGCAAGATAGGAAGTTTGCAGAGCAGGAGAGGAAGCTGGGCAAGTTAGAGGACATGTTGCAAAGAGTGGAGACAAAGTTAGTGTGTGAAAGTATAGGAAACTGCCCTATTCTGTAATGAAGGAGCATCAGAGTCAGTTGTACAAAATGGAAGGAATTTGCAAGGTTTATGTTCTTTAATGATACTATCATGTTTAGAAGTAGACCCAAGAGCAAAAAACCTCCTTTTTCTGACCTGAAAAAATCAATTATTTAAAATTTCTACTTTTCTGTTTTCTGTCTTTTCTGATTTCTACAGTTTGCAGACGATGTCCTCCTTCTCACTGGCAATAACATCATGAGGCTTAAAGCATTTTATAGAGAATGAAAATATCGTTGCCAACAAACGGACATCACATGTAATTTGTTTACTATACATTTTGATGTATTTTCAAGATCATAAGTACGTTCCATTACCATATAACTCCTGCTCCTTGCATTACAATGATAACGAAGAGAGTTAGAGCCACATGTGGATTTTTTTAGGAGATCTGCCCAAAAGTGACTAACCAGTGTTGTAACAACAGAAGAAAACTGAAAGAGGAGTGCTCTGTAACAAGCAGGTTATTTTGTTGGAGTTTTATAGAAAGGAAGGATACTTTTTGATCATGGGTCTCAATGTTTTTCAGGCAGGGTTGCCAAATTAAGTTTTATATTAAACTGGGCCTGCCATAAAATGTAATGCCATGTATAAACGATGATGTTCATGGAAGATTTGACACTAAGATAGTAAAATGATAAAACGTAGCCGTAGTTAACTGCTGTTATTAATTAACAATGATACCAAAGTCCATTACAAATAAAACGATAAAATATATGAACCTGCCTACAATTTATCTTAACCATCCAATTGTTTTCCTACGGACTGTTTGTCAGTATCACCTCTAACAACATGATAGTTTAATATCTGATAATATTTCTTTATTCAATTGTGTTATATATTCCTCAATTACTTTTGATCTTTTGCTGCTTTCACTTTTGAGATCTGAAACAACTGGAGATCCCCAATTCCCCTTTTCAACCAAACCGGTTCCAGACCCGGATCCGGGCTAGAGCCTGATTTAGCTCTGTTTTTTCCTGTTTCCACCGCAGCGGAGCCGGCTCTAATCACCGAAACCCGGTTCTTAGCTGGCCACTCGGCTGCCCGGCAAGAACCAAGAACCAAGAACCAAGAACCAAGAACCAAGAACCAAGAACCAAGAACCAAGAACCAATACTTCACGCTTACGTCGGAGGGGGCGAGATTAACCTGAGCAATAACAGTTCATGGCGAGTACGGCAAATACAAGTTGCAACAAGCAGTAGCGCTGAGCAAAGTGACTAGAACGCAACCACACACTTATTAAAAAAAAACACACACTTTATAAAGTCAGGCAACACTAACCAGCAGAGGTGGGAGTAAGTCCTACATGTGAAAGTCATGAGCAAGTCTCAAGTCTTGACCTACAAGTATCAAGCAAGTCCCAAGTCACTGTGGTGAGAGTCAAGCAAGTCAAGTCAAGTCATTGCTCAGGTCAAGCAAGTCAAGTCAAGTCATACGAAATTCTGATGAATAAGCCCAGTTTCCGCATTTAAATCAGTTAAAAGACAGTGGTTATGAAAATGGATTCAACCCACACTATGATCTTCATTACATACACAGTTAATCATTTGAAATCTAATTTAGACCGATGACAATCATATTAGATTCATATTAACCCTAGAACTGCAGACAATATAGCTAGGACTCAATCAGTCTGTTCAAAAAGGCAGAATTCCAGGTAAGAAAATCATATATGGCATTTGCCATTACACATATTTAATTTAAATGTCTGTTAACACTAGAACCGCCAACAGCGTCAGCACCTACATAGATATCATTTTCAAATCATTTAATTTGTTCCTCTTCATAATTTCCTTATAAACTAAGTAGGACGATTTAAAACTCAGTTAATTGGGTTAATTTAGAAATGGCTTCAGTTTATCATCATAACAGATCAAAAAGTTCAGATTCATTTTACAATAAATCAAGGAATGATGCACTTCTACAAACAAAAACAACATAATTAAAACATTTAAACAAACTACTAAAAGTAGATGAACTACATTATTCAACAGTTTACAGTACCTTCTGATAACACAGGGGAAATAAACGAGGCATCTCTTTTCCTCTCTCTCTCTCTCTCCCTCTCCTGACAGCCCGTCAGTATCAGGGTTAGTCAAAATGAATCACTTGGTGGTTCTAGTGTTCATTTACCGTTTTGTCTTCTCTTTGCAATGCTTAATCGATTTGAAACCAAGTCTAACGTAGCTTAAACTTAACGTTAGCTTCCTAGCTAACACAACACATTCACGCACCTTTCTCTGTGGGGTTTTTTGTAGTGACGAATTAAGTTGGATGTTGTGGTGGTCGTGTCACTGATCTTTATGCTGCAGACCCTGCATACCGTTGTTCTCTTCTTATTAGCGTCATCGACAACATAATCCTTGAATCCAAACTTCACTATTTGTGGAGTAACGCTAGCCGCTGCCATGTTAACTGACACTCCTGCCGTCTAGTGGGTTGCCAGGTTTGCGCGCATGGCGCAATAATCACCCAATCACGTTTTTCGAAAAAACTAAACGTAATATCTCAATACAAAAACAAACGCAAATATTTAATTTTAAACAGTCAAGTCCTTTCAAGTCATCTGTCTCAAGCTTAAGTCAAGTCTCAAGTCATGAACACCAAGTCAAAGTCAAGTCAAGTCTTTTATCAATGTTAGTCAAGCAAGTCTCAAGTCAAAAAATATGCGACTCGAGTCTGACTCGAGTCAAGTCATGTGACTCGAGTCCCCACCTCTGCTAACCAGGCTTCTTGTGATTCTGTTTATTTGTACCTTACTTTGACCATCCGTTCGCTGTTATTGATCATGTGGAGAGCAGGCAGACGTTTTCCTGTTGTTTTGTATTATAGCAGCTATCGGATGGAATCAATACATGGGCTGCACAGGTTGCCATGTCCTACTTTTTGTTGTTCTTTACGTTTTTATTAATATATTTTCATACATATTCATACATAATAGATAGTTTCCGCCAATAATCAATTTTTTACAATAAAACATTTTTTACAAAAAATAAAATAAAGACACAACAGAAACCCTTTGCCCTTTACTAGTTAACTAGTGAGATACATTTAAATTCAACTAGCGAACTAGTGAGGCTTAAAATGTTCACTTGTAGTACTAGTGGATCCCAAATGTGCACTAGTCGCACTTGTTGTTCAGAATGCTAATGAGGAGGAGGGGAAATAATGCATCGAGGTCTCCTATTGGCCCTAAGCTATAGAGCGCCACCCAGCCCAAATAGTTTATTTAAGAGCTTAAATACACTATGTTTTAATATACAGTCATATGACCATATTTACAAAAATATAAAACAAAAGTATTTTTGTAATTATGATCATATGACTGTATATCCAATTAGGTAAGAACATTGAAGACTTTGTTAAAATTAGAAAGTTGCCTTAGGACTGCATACAGGAATATAGATCCTCTTTAAAACATTTTATTAAGCTGCAATTTCAAAGGTACTTGGATTAGAATAGCACCGTGATAACAGAGTGACATTAGTGATGGATAGAAAGAGGAAGTAACCCTCTTCGGATCACAGCTTTGAGAGATCGCCGTGACTTCCGTAAATATTAGTCTAAGGCAAAATATGGAGAGGTTGTTTATCATACAGATCTATCGTTATCCTGATTTTAAGATCTGTCCAGTGTTTCTGCTTTATTAATTTCATGAGCACCGCTTATAAAATGTCCCACGATCATATACTTTTGTGTCTCGAGTGCCGGTGTTCTCACACACAAGCGTACGCACATTCGCACCAACAAAAACACACACACAAACGGAACAAAGCAGAAACAGAAACATGTATTTTTCTTGGCAAAACACACACTGACTGACTTCTCACGGACAATATGTTAACAGTAGGCACTAAATACCCGACTGATGCACCTCACGTCTTCGAGACGTTGCTAAAAACATTGCAGGAGAACGCCCCCTAAAGCTCTCCCTCACAGAGCTGAACTGACCAATCAGAATCTGGGTCCCGCCTGCTTCATTTGCATATGGCTGACTAGTTAACGTGTTGGCCATATGAACGGCAACTAGTTAACTAGTGGATGCATATTGCAGCTTACACGTTAACTAGTGAAGGCAAAATGTTCACTAGTTAACTAGTTGAAGCCTCTTTTAGGTGTATATCGGTATGTAGTGTCTCTACTTTAAAGAGTCCTCTCCTGCTGATGTTCAGGTGTATATCGGTATGTAGTGTCTCTACTTTAAAGAGTCCTCTCCTGCTGATGTTCAGGTGTATATCAGTATGTAGTGTCTCTACTTTAAAGAGTCCTCTGGCACAGGGATTTTAGCGTTTACAGATCATTTACATGCACTAAAACCTTTATAACAAACTACAGGGAAGGGAAAACCACTAAAAGAATAAGAGAGCCTCTTTAAAGAAACACATGAAAAAAGAAAATGACAAGCACAGATACATTTCACAGATAAAAAGTCTGAATTTTCACAAGATGTTGATCGGTGAAATTAGTCAAATATATAACGAGAGAGTGTTGTATTGTAAAAATAAAAATGAAATTATAATGCTTTCTTACACGGCACTGTTAGGAGGATAAAGATCTAATCTGAGACTGATTTTGACCGGTAGGGTGCAGGATGTGTTGTTGCGTCTGACTACAGATCATAAAAGATGCCCAGAGGAGGGAACCATGATAACTTATCAGACAGACCTACATTAGAGGATTCCACTTTCTCACATGCACACACCTGCATTCAGACATCTTGCAGCGACATCCAGTCAACAGTAAGTTATTGTTTCCTCTCGATATATTTATTAACTTCTGTTAGCTCAACTCTCTCATTTGTTAGTTTCCTCAATGTTTTTTTTTTCTTTTTTTGGACTTGCTTCATCAGTTTAAACAAGGATTATGTTTGATTTTATTGTGATGGTGATTTTTAGAGCTGCAACAGTAAGTCGCCAACTATTGTGATAATGGATTAATCTTTAATAGTGGTTTTTCGTGCCAAAAATGTCAGAAAATACTTTTTTCAGACTCAAATATGGAGTTTTCCTGCTTTTCTCTAACATATCATAAAGTGAATAGCTTTGGGTGTTGTACTGACGAATAAAAACATTAAGACATCATCTTGGACTTGGAATCGACATTATAACTATTTTCGGATATTTTATAGACCAAACAATTACGCTATGAATATAATGACCTCAAAGACACAGACAAAGACCATTAAGAGACACACAATGACCACAAAGAGACACTAAATCTCCACAAAGACACACTACATGTCCTCAAAGACACACACAATGTCCTCAAAGACACACACAATGACCACAAAGACACACACAATGTCCTCAAAGACACACACAATGACCACAAATACACACACAATGACCACAAAGAGACACACAATGTCCTCAAAGACACACACAATGACCACAAATACACACCCAACGACCACTAAGAGACACACACAATGTCCTCAAATACACACCCAACGACCACTAAGAGACACTAAATCTCCACAAAGACACACTAAATGTCCTCAAAGACACACACAATGACCACAAAGACACACACAATGTCCTCAAAGACACACACAATGTCCTCAAAGACACACACAATGACCACAAATACACACACAATGACCACAAAGAGACACACAATGTCCTCAAAGACACACACAATGACCACAAATACACACACAATGACCACAAAGAGACACACAATGTCCTCAAAGACACACACAATGACCACAAATACACACACAATGACTACAAAGAGACACACAATGTCCTCAAAGACACACACAATGACCACAAATACACACACAACGACCACTAAGAGACACACACAATGTCCTCAAAGACACAAACAATGACCACAAAGAGACACTAAATCTCCACAAAGACACACTAAATGTCCTCAAAGACACACACAATGACCACAAAGACACACACAATGTCCTCAAAGACACACACAATGACCACAAATACACACACAATGACCACAAAGAGACACACAATGTCCTCAAAGACACACACAATGACCACAAATACACACACAATGACCACTAAGAGACACACACAATCAAAGTCAAAGTCAAAGTCAGCTTTATTGTCAAGAATTCTACATGTTCTACAGAAATATCGAAATATCGTTTCCCGCAGTCCTACAGTGTGACATATATACATCAAACAAAAAACAAAATGGGCCTAGATAAACGTGGTATACATTAAACAAAACAAAGAGCCTAGATAAACGTGGTATACAGTTTAAAATGTTAATAATATATGTAAAGTGTTAAAAGTACAGTTTCAGTGCAGTAGCAGCGGAGATGGGCAGAAAAGTGACTGGTGCTGGATGAGGGAAGGCTGTATGTGTGTGTGTGTGTGTGTGTGTGTGTGTGTGTGTGTGTGTGTGTGTGTGTGTGTGTGTGTGTGTGTGTGTGTGTGTGTGTGTGTGTGTGTGTGTGGGGGGGGGGGTTAGGGTGGAGAGTTCAGGGGAGAGATATCAGAGAGGGGGGAGAGAGGGAGGGAGGGAGGGAGGGGAGAGAGTTCAGCATCCTGACGGTGCCCGAGCTGAGGCTGCGGGACCTTCTTCCTGAAGGCAGGAGGCTGAAGAGGCTGTTGGAGGGGTGGGTGGAGTCACCCACAATGCTGAGTGCTTTGCAGGTGAGGCGGGTGTTATATATGTCCTGTAGTGATGGGAGTGAGGCACCGATGATCCTCTAGGCAGAGTTCACTATGCGCTGCAGGCTCTTTCGGTCGGAGGCGGTGCAGCTTCCGAACCACAGCGTGATACAGCTGCTGAGGTTGCTCTCAGTGGCGCCTCGGTAAAAAGACAGTATGATGGGGGGTGATGCTCCAGCTCGCTTGAGCTTCCGGATGAAGTACAGGCGCTGCTGGGCTTTCTTCGCTAGTGCGGTGGTGTTGTTTTCCCAGGTGAGGTCCTCAGTGATGGTCACACCAAGGAATTTGGTGCTGGTCACCTGCGTCACAGCAGCGCCGTTGATGGTCAGGGGGAGAGGGGGTCGGCGGTGGGTTCTCCTGAAGTCAACAACTATCTCCTTTGTTTTCTCCAGGTTGAGGAAGAGGTTGTTGTTTTGGCACCACAAGGCCAGCTGGTTCACTTCCTTCCTGTAGTTAGTCTCATCGTTGTTGCTGATGAGACCCACCACAGTAGTGTCGTCTGCAAACTTCACGATGTGGTTGGTGCTGAAGATGGGTTTGCAGTCGTGGGTCAGCAGAGTGAAGAGAAGGGGGCTGAGCACACATCCTTGGGGGGCCCCCGTGCTCTATGAGGGTGTCTGAGGTGTTATTGTTGACCCGTACAGCTTGTGGTCTCTCTGTGAGGAAGTCCAGCAACCAGTTACAGAGAGAGGGGCTGAGGCCCAGGTCTGTAAGTAGCCGTTGAGGTTGTTGAGCAGGGAGGTATTACTGTCACAGGTCTGTGGCGGTGGTTTGTAGTCCGTTAGGGTCCTTATGCCCTGCCACAGGCTCCGTGAGTCCCTGCTATCCTTGAAATGTCCTGTAATTTTTTGGGAGAATTTTTGTTTTGCTTGACCACAAAGAGACACACAATGTCCTCAAAGACACACACAATGACCATAAAGAGACACACAATGTCCTCAAAGACACACACAATGACCACAAAGAGACACACAATGAACAACTATAATGTGCATGTTTGTCAGAAGGAATTGTCATATATTGAAATTATTATATTAATCAGTCAGTAGACTTTATTTTCATCATATCATCTCTTGTAACAGAGTAAAATCAAAGCCAGTTTATTTTGTCTCATAAACTAGTCTCATAAAGTGTATTATCTTTATGATAGGTCTGAGGTGAATATTAGGTCGAGGTTCAACCCAGTCTCACGGCATTTCGTGTTATTAGTCACGAAATTAATTTAATCTATTGATTCGTGTTCACCAACACGATTTTCACATTTTTTTTCGTGTCACACAGAACGATTTTAAAAGCAATGTATTTCTATTGGTAGTATGTTTCGTGCCTGCAACACGTCTTTTTGTCCGGTCGGGTCTTGGAAGACCAGAAGCTGTGTGGTTCATAAAAACATGTTCTTACTCAATATCTTACCCTAAGCCTAACCCTATCACTTTCATTTGAAATTGTATAATGTCTGAGTTTCTTTGCCGTCAGTGAGGAAAATAAATGGCTCAGAGCCTCAGAATACTGACATCTGTATTTTATGTCATCTTTTTTTCCTTCTAATTTGTTATTATTTGGTGCAGGCACGAAAAACATACTACCAATATAAATACATTGCTTCTAAAATCGTTCTGTGTCAGAATACTGAAATCTGTATTTTTTTAAATGTCTTTTTCCTTCTAATTTGTTATTATTTATATTGCTTTTAAAATCGTTCTGTGTGACACGAAAAAAATGGCGAAATCGTGTTGGTGAACACGAATCAATAGATTAATTTCGTGACTATAACACAAAATGCCGAGAGACTGTGTTGCGAGGTTAACAGCTTTGTCAGTAGTTGAGTTTGGGACAGTGAATCTGTTTCATTCTGTTGGTTGTGGAAGAGCCAGGCTGAGTAAAGTTACGTTTCCAGGGTCAATGGTTGCAGTCATAAGCTTTGCTGTGCTGCATGTCAAAGGAGTGGCTTCGTTGCTCTTAATGTTAGCTAACTAGTGTGCTAGCGCTAAACTAGCTTACGTTGGAAATGTACCCGCGTCCTTTAACATCAGTAAAAGAGTTAGTTGTGTCAGTCGTGATGTATCATGACCTCACCCATACGTCGCAGATTTTCTCCGCAACGCCCCTTACAACAACAATGGCGGACTGCGTGGGGTCGATGCTGCTGTTGCTTTTTTAACCTTAGGTGATTACATAATGTAGTGCCTGGGAGCTTAAGTTCATGGCTCAGTTCTGCAGGGTCCCAATATCGCCCATGCCATTATTGTCAGATTTTATTTCAAATGAGAACTAAAAGGCTACTTCGGTTTTAAATGTTTTTTTTTAAACCTCCATGGAAGGGCGACTTCTGGTTATTATATAATCAGGGGTCTTGTGCATGGCTCAGCTGCGATGGTTGAAGCCCAAACACCGCCCATGCCCCTATTGTCAGATTTCACTTCAATCTGTTTGTTCCTTGTCCCTCCAGGAGATCATGGAGCTCATCACACCTTTCAAGGGCATCTACTCCATGTTCGAAAAGATGAAGTTCAATGAGCAGACCTGCCCTCACATTCTGGAGAGACTCAAAGCCCTGGAGAATCTGGCTCTTTTCATCCTACAGAAGGAGTCGGAGCAACTCTCCGAGGACCTGAACGAAGCGCTGGGGAAACTCAAAAAGGTTCTGCTGTCAGCTGATGAGCTCATCCAGAAATTCACCGAATCCTTAGCGGTGACTCGGGTGGTGAAATCCAGCGACTACAAATTAGAGTTTGAAACCCTGAACAAAAGCCTCACTGATGCCTTCGTGACCCTCTCAGCGGCCCTGCATGCCCAACAGGGGAAGATGCTGGACAAGCAAGAGACACAGCTTACTGAGCAGGAGAGCATGCTCAATGAGCTGAAGATCATGCTCAGTGAGCAGAAGGTCATGTTGAAATGGCAGAAGAAGAAGATGACCGAGACTGGGAGGAAGCTCGCAGAGCAGGATAGGAAGATGGCGGAGCAGGATCGGAAAATGGCGGGGCAAGATAGGAAGTTTGCAGGGCACGAGAGGAAGTTGGGCAAGCAGGAGGACATGTTGCAAAGAGTGGATACAAAGTTAGTGTGTGAGAGTAGAGGAAACTGCCCTATTCTGTAATGAAGGAGCATCAGAGTCAGTTGTACAAAATGGAAGGAAATTGCAAGGTTTAGGTTCTTTAATGATATTATCATGTTTAGAAGTAGACCCAAGAGCAAAAAACGTGACTAACCAGTGTTGTAACAACAGAAGAAAACTGAAAGAGGAGTGCTCTGTAACAAGCAGGTTATTTTGTTGGAGTTTTATAGAAAGGAAGGATACTTTTTGATCATGGGTCTCAATGTTTTACAGGCAGGGTTGCCAAATTAAGTTTTATATTAAACTGGACCTGCCATAAAATGTAATGCCATGTATAAACGATGATGTTTGACACTAAGATAGTAAAATGATAAAACGTAGCCGTAGTTAACTGCTGTTATTAATTAACAATGATACCAAAGTCCATTACAAATAAAACAATAAAATACATGAACCTGCCTACAATTTATCTTAACCATCCAATTGTTTTCCTACGGACTGTTTGTCAGTATCACCTCTAACAACATGATAGTTTAATATCTGATTATATTTCTTTATTCAATTGTGTTATATATTCCTCAATTACTTTTGATCTTTTGCTGCTTTCACTTTTGAGATCTGAAACAACTGGAGATCCCCAATTCCCCTTTTCAACCAAACCGGTTCCAGACCCGGATCCGGGCTAGAGCCTGATTTAGCTCTGTTTTTTCCTGTTTCCACCGCAGCGGAGCCGGCTCTAATCACCGAAACCCGGTTCTTAGCTGGCCACTCGGCTGCCCGGCAAGAACCAAGAACCAAGAACCAAGAACCAAGAACCAAGAACCAAGAACCAAGAACCAAGAACCAAGAACCAAGAACCAAGAACCAATACTTCACGCTTACGTCGGAGGGGGCGAGATTAACCTGAGCAATAACAGTTCATGGCGAGTACGGCAAATACAAGTTGCAACAAGCAGTAGCGCTGAGCAAAGTGACTAGAACGCAACCACACACTTATAAAAAAAAAACACACACTTTATAAAGTCAGGCAACACTAACCAGCAGAGGTGGGAGTAAGTCCTACATGTGAAAGTCATGAGCAAGTCTCAAGTCTTGACCTACAAGTATCAAGCAAGTCCCAAGTCACTGTGGTGAGAGTCAAGCAAGTCAAGTCAAGTCATACGAAATTCTGATGAATAAGCCCAGTTTCAGCATTTAAATCAGTTAAAAGACAGTGGTTATGAAAATGGATTCAACCCACACTATGATCTTCATTACATACACAGTTAATCATTTGAAATCTAATGTAGACCGATGACAATCATATTAGATTCATATTAACCCTAGAACTGCAGACAATATAGCTAGGACTCAATCAAAAAGTCTGTTCAAAAAGGCAGAATTCCAGGTAAGAAAATCATATATGGCATTTGCCATTACACATATTTAATTTAAATGTCTGTTAACACTAGAACCGCCAACAGCATCAGCACCTACATAGATATCATTTTCAAATCATTTAATTTGTTCCTCTTCATCATTTCCTTATAAACTAAGTAGGACGATTTAAAACTCAGTTAATTGGGTTAATTTTGAAATGGCTTCAGTTTATCATCATAACAGATCAAAAAGCTCAGATTCATTTTACAATAAATCAAGGAATGATGCACTTCTACAAACAAAAACAACATAATTAAAACATTTAAACAAACTACTAAAAGTAGATGAACTACATTATTCAACAGTTTACAGTAACTTCTGATAATAACACAGGGGAAATAAACGAGGCATCTCTTTTCCTCTCTCTCTCTCCCTCTCTCTCTCTCTCTCTCTCTCTCTCTCTCTCTCCCTCTCCTGACAGCCCGTCAGTATCAGGGTTAGTCAAAATGAATCCCTTGGAGGTTCTAGTGTTCATTTACCGTTTTGTCTTCTCTTTGCAATGCTTAATCGATTTGAAACCAAGTCTAACGTAGCTTAAACTTAACGTTAGCTTCCTAGCTAACACAACACATTCACGCACCTTTCTCTGTGGGTTTTTTTGTAGTGACGAATGAATTTGGATGTTGTGGTGGTCGTGTCACTGATCTTTATGCTGCAGACCCTGCATACCGTTGTTCTCTTCTTATTAGCGTCATCGACAACATAATCCTTGAATCCAAACTTCACTATTTGTGGAGTAACGCTAGCCGCTGCCATGTTAACTGACACTCCTGCCGTCTAATGGGTTGCCAGGTTTGCGCGCATGGCGCTATAATCACCCAATCACGTTTTTCGAAAAAACTAAACGTAATATCTCACTACAAAAACAAACGCAAATATTTAATTTTAAACAGTCAAGTCCTTTCAAGTAATCTGTCTCAAGCTTAAGTCAAGTCTCAAGTCATGGATACCAAGTCAAAGTCAAGTCAAGTCTTTTATCAATGTTAGTCAAGCAAGTCTCAAGTCAAAAAATATGCGACTCGAGTCTGACTCGAGTCACATGACTTGACTCGAGTCTGACTCGAGTCAAGTCATGTGACAGACCATGGGGCTGGGTCAGCCACTAACAGTTTAAAATGCTAGAAGAGCATACAGAGACTCAGAAAACAGAGGGCAGTTACCGTGGTTGGCCCTTTAATTCAATATAGCAAACTCAAAAGGTACAACTTAAATCACTCTTAGCTAAATAAAACAAAAGGCAAGTAAATCAAACCCTGAGGAGGCATGTGCCTCTCCTCACTACTCCCTCCAGCTCTTCTTTGCTGTGTTTTTATTGTAACCCTTTTCCATTTAAATGAGTTTCTCCCCTGAATCTTTCTCAGTCGTGTGTGTGTGTGTGTGTGTGTGTGTGTGTGTGTGTGTGTGTGTGTGTGTGTGTGTGTGTGTGTGTGTGTGTGTGTGTGTGTGTGTGTGTGTGTGTGTGTGTGTGTGTGTGTGTGTGTGTGTGTGTGTGTGTGTGTGTGTGTGTGTGTGTGTGTGTGTGTGTGTGTGTTTTTTTATGTGGCATTGTCAAAAAACTGATGACACTCGACGGGCATGACATATTTCATGGACGGAAGGTACTGAAACCTCCTCTCCTTGATTGGCAGAGCGTCAACTTCAGCAGTTGCAGCTGCCTGTTGATATTCCCGATGTAGTTGGGAGATGGTTGTGCCTGGGTGAAGGAACTTCTTGTCTTTGTAGGCAGTAGTGTGAATCAACAGTGGGCAGATCCTTCAACCAGTCCTTAAGGAATTCTGCAACAGCAATTTCCAGCTTTGCATTTTTGCCACTCTTAGGTCGAGATGTAGTTGGCGGGTCTGCCACTTGTTCGTCATGGTCGATGGTGTTTTTGTTCAGCCAGTGTAATGGTTCTTTCAGGGATACCAAGTGTAGAAGAAAAAAAGCTTTGCACACTTTAAGATTTGTTCCATCCTGAAGTTTCAGTTGGTAGGAAAAGTATGAACTGCGCCTGGATCCCTCACCAACTTTATTTCTTTTGCTTCATGGCAACCTTTGTGACCAAAGTGGTGACGTATTACCTATGTTCTTCCCAGTTGTCCATTGACCAAACTTTCTGAAATATCCAGTGCCTCTGCTCTTCTGTAATGGATTGACAGTCCCGAGTCGTGACTCGTTGACAGAACTTCGAATTGCAGGGAAGGCCCATAGCCTTTGAAGCTATTTCTTTGCCACCTTTGGCCTTGTATGCCATTCCTTTGAGACGTTTCTTCTTGGATTCATTTTGCTTCCATGTTTCTGGGCTGAGGTATTTATGTTGTTTCCTTTTGACCGTATTGTTTTCATACACATCCTCTAGATGAGGACCATAATGTTCTGAAGTTGCTGCCAGACTGTCTTCATTTTCAGGGACAGAGGACTCATCAGAGGATGGATTGTAGTTTGGGTCTATGATAACATCATCATCATCATCATCTATGTCTTCTTCATGGTGTGGACGGGTCTGCTTGGCATCGTCAGCAACACACTCTTCTTCAATGAAAGTGTTTAGGTTATTATCTGCTCCATCTGATTCAGGGTGTTTCTCAATGTCGAGGAAAGCTGCTCCAGAGCCACTATTTCAAGGATACTACGTCATCGAGTGCCGCCGAAGGACTGTTCCAATGTCCAGCATACTTGGAATCCTACCGAGGCCGGTGTAATTCGTTGCTGGAAATGTTGAGGCTAAACATGTGTAGACTCCGCGGTCTTAAAATCCCCACAATGCTTTGCGCACGGACCAATTCCCCAAATCTTTGGCGGAAAATGTAAGGCGGGGCCTCTCATATGACGCACACCTGCACACTTGCTAGCCTGTTCCATTCTTCGTTCTACGAATGCCAGGAAGGATTCTTGCCTAGCCTCTGATGGACCTGACTCAGAGGACAAGGAAGCGTCCTCGACATTGAGAAACACCCACAGTGTCTTGGCCTAGTACATGCTGCTCCACCTCTTTAACGACAGTCTCATTTTCATTGGATGATTCCTGATCGGTGTCGGAAAAGTCAAGTGCATCTCCTACCAAAAAGGAGTAGGCGTACGGTCACAACTGTGTGATCATTGTGAAAAACATTTTGTAATTGCACTGTGGTCTATGCATTAATACATTAAAGCTATTTAATGAATATTATTTGGCCAAATTCAGTTAAAAAAACATTTAATCTTTCCTAATAAGATGGAAATGTAATGTGGAAAAAGGAGACAATAATACAATATTAAGAATTAAAACAGACAAACGCAAAATGTACTTTTCCTTGTTCATAATTATGCTGTAATTGTAACTGTTACTTTTGAAAGATTAGTTTTTAGATGAGTCTTTATTGTCCCAGAGGGAAATGTGTGCATGCTTCATGGAGCTACAGGAGCTACATTAGCTACAGTAACTATAAATTGTGAAATTAAAAGACTAAATAACTACACAACATTTATAGCCTAGCCTATAGTATAGTAAACATCACTTACCAACAGGGGACAAGCCCTGAACCATGAAAATAACTTAATTTATCTGTTAGTTGTTCTTTCTTCTTGAAGCAGCCATTTTGTAAAGCTTGTCAAATTGCCTAAGTCACAAGACAATGTGACTTAAGCCATTATTTTTTTTTAAATATATGGCCTAAGTCACACTCTTGACATAGGCCATTATACTATCAGGGTAGGAACAGCACTTTCTTTTCAATAAGGATGTAGGCAATTTTACCAGAGGTGGCCAGCATCAAGAAGAGATGATTTAGGCAAAAAAAACATTTTCTCCAAAATATGACTTAGGCCATTAGTTTAAGAAGGTGACGATATCACTTTATTCACTATTCAGCTTAGTTATCCTTGCCATGAAGGATTGAATGGATGAATGTTCTATATTATTTTAATGACAGATTGAACCACAGCAATATTGTTTTAGAGATGTTATATGTTTAACTGCTATGCCTGTCATCTCTGCTCTGTGTCATTGTGTTGTCTCCTGG